TACTGATATCTTATAACTTAAGACAATTAGAGTAGTTTACCTATCAAGCATTAATAGTGGTATTTCTATATGGTGAGGTAGGTATGAGATACAACTATAGACCCATTAACAAAAAAGGTGGGCAAGTGGGTGTCGCTCTGCTGTACAGTAGGTTACAAGTGGGTCACTGTATAATGGATGGTATTAAATTTGAATTCAATGATATAATATCATTGTATAAGAAAAACGATTCTGAGCGGTGACGGTATGTCAGTCTATGTATAAGACATATTATATATACATATCTATGGTATTAAACAAAAAATTGACCTATAATAGGTACCTATAATTAATTCCAAATTAATCATATCACAATATCCATTAGATACTTATAACGCGTTATACATCAACAAAAACCGTGATACTATCATAGATATATAATAGTACACTTTAGAAGTTTCAAGTACCCACGAATAATATTATTCAATCACAACAAAATAACTAAAATAGTTATTCTAGGTTTTTTAATATGTATTTTCGTCCAAATTTGAATTTAAAATGTCTGGAAAAAATAAGTGTGTTCATATATTTTTTAGATTTTTTGGTTATAGTATGAACTATTTATGAGAACCTTTGTGTTGAATTTGTAATCTTTACCTATAAAAACTGAACATTTTATAATTTTTTAATTCCAACGATTGATAATGTTCGAGATTTTGATAAATTTTATCAAAATTTGATCTTTAATTGCTTATAAAAAAAAACTGTGCCTATATATTTTTAATATTTTTCAACTGCTATTGTAACAATATATCAGGAGCCTTGTATTAAATTTTTACACTTTTTGGCCCAACAGATAAAATTTTATTGACAATTATAAAAAAAAAAACTAAAAAAATTGAAAACTGAAAATGTCCGTAAACAGCTCAAAAAGAGTCAAAATATTTTCAAAATTGTATGGTGTATAGGAAATGCTAATATAAACATTCAGTGAAATGTTCATATATCTATAGTTATTCGTTTATGAATTACAACAAAATAAGGAAATCGCTACATGAGAAATCGAGTGAACATCCAATGTTGTAAAAATTTGAATTTCAAACGCTCATAAAAATTTAATTTGACTGTCCGGTAGAGATTTTTTTATTGATAAAGGTAGACAAACTTATGAGTAATCTTGTATTACATTTTCAAATTTAGATTTAAAAAGAAAAATTTTTGCGAATTCTTAACTCAAAATAATTTGCTAATTTTCGTGATTTTTCCATATTTTGTCAATTTTTGAACTTTAAATGCTTATAAAAAAAAACTGTGACTAACGATTTTTAATATTTTTCATCTGCCTTTGAAACAATATACTAGGAGTCTTCTATTAAATTTTCAAGTTTTTTTAACCAACAAATAAAATTTTATTGATATTTCTAGAAAAAAAACTAAAAAAAAATGAAAAATGAAAATGTCCCTAATCCTAAACAGTTCAAAATAAATCAAAATATTTTGAAAATCTTATCGTGTATAGAAAATGCAATTATAAACAACCAGTGAAAATGTCATGTATATACGTTCATTTGTTTTAGAGTTACACCAATAACCAAAATCGATTTTTTGGAAAACCAATTTTGCGTAAAAATTCCCGTTTTCCTTAATTTTTATGTTGTTTTTCCCGGCGCTTGTGAAAACTACTGGGAAATTTATACTTTTGACCCCCCCAAAGTACCAACTAGATTCACTTTCCTATCAGAAAAGCTACTGATGAAGAAAATCCAAGCACTTTTACTGTCCTAAAACGTGATGACAGACACAAAAATAAAAAAATATAAAAATATATAAAAAAAAACACACATCATTGTAAAACCAATACATTCATCGCTCCGCTCAGAATCTAAAATACAAAATAAAATACTGAAAATTATCCTAAAAAAAGACTTAAGATACCACACAAATTATTTATACAATGCCATGAATGTACTATCAATAAAAAAATTATTTTATAAAGCGTCGATACTTTAAATGATTAAAAATAACCTTACTTTTAAAACTGAACACGGACATAATACTAGACAAATATCTAATATCAAAGTATCAAATATGTACAAAAAATTAACACAATCCACATACATATGGTCCAAAAATTTACAATATACTGCCATTAGAATTAAACACAGCAACTCTTTAAAGATTCTTAAAAAAAAAATTACACTTTGGCTATTACAAGAACAAAATATAGACAGACTCATAACAAATGTAAAGGATTACAGCATTACTTATCAGTTATCATATTAGGCGTGCGCAGACTTTTTTCGAAAAGTATGCCAGTATTTTTAAACATACATAGCTCGATACAAAAAACAACTCCCCAAAAACCCTTATTAGGTACAAATAACCATATAATACAAAAAAAAATTATCATGCATTTTATTTGGTTTATTTATTGGTTATAGATATTTTAATTTGAAAAGTTTGTACTGTGATTTTATTCCAATAAAGTAACTGTATAAAAACCTACAGACATTTGATCAAATTATAATAGGTAATATAATAATGACAAAAAATTATAATCTAATTAATCGGAATTCTTTTATTTTTGATAGTTGTTGGTAGTATAAAAATAAGCAATACCGCAGGGGCCTGAATGTTTTGGTGACAAAACTCTAAATTCTCACGAAAGTGGGGGATTTTGATTTCAACTATATTATCATGAGTTAGCAATCTATTTTATTATTACCTGCAGCTGTGGCGATTATGAAAATCGAATTAATATTTTATTTCATCTCGACTCCCAATATTTTATTAAATATCTATCTAATTTATAATCAAAACATTTACAACTAAAAACTATATGGTTATGATAACTATCTGGAGGGGATGTCATGGCACCCCCCCCCCCCCCCCCGTGCACGCCTATGGTTATAAAAATAAAACAAAAACATAGGTACATAGGTAGTCACATATTTACATAATTTTACACTGATGTTTTTGTTCATTAAAAAATTCCCAGTGGGTGCAGTGGCACCCACTGGCCCCTCTTTGCTGGCGCCCCTGTTTTGGTCGTTTAAATTAATATACCATAGACGTAAAACCCGCATGTATTGTCTCCGTCTAATAAGAGGACGTCACACTCCGTCTTAATACGTACGACATAGAAAAAACGTGTTTACGCAGTCTGAGTAGAACTCGCTCAATTTTGGTTTCAAAGTAAAAATCCCTATTATAAAATTGAATTGTGACAATATTTCTGGGGGCAGGTCATTGTGCTTTTTTCTTTTATACCCAATATAAAGTTCATTATATCAATTAGAAATAGCAACATTTTCAACATTTTTAAAGTACCTACCTTTAACTCTTCAAAATTAAATTTTTTCACCATCTTTCCTTCTCAATAATTGTCATTTTGTCTATGTCGAACGAGTGTAAAACGGAGTCCTTTTAATATGCTTTAGAAACGTTAGAATATAATGACTAATGATATTAAGTAGGTAAAAAAAATAACGCTTTGAATAAACTTCTTTTCATAATATTATAATAAAATATAAATAATATTGTAAGTAACATTGAAAAACCAAAGGATACAATATTCACATGTTTATATTTGTGCCCAGCACAACTAATATAGCTTAAGGATGTGTAACCTTCCTTTCATAAATTCTTAATTTTAATGTATAATGTAAGTTTTGGATATGGAAAATACCTAGCTTAAATAAATAAATTAGTAGGTATGTATTATTTTAAAAACAGAAAACAAACCTTTAAATACCTAACTGTTTTTTCTTGAATAAGTAGATACATAAGTAGGTACCTACCTATTTACCTTAACTTAATGAATGCAGAATGACCATGATATTATAGCATAAGTACCTATACTTTAACACGGTTGTCAGTTACTGCTATAGCAGTAATTTCAATTTTTTCAATTCTAATGTACCTAATGGTAACAGTCATTTACAAGCCCACAAAATCTGCCATTACTGCTCATGCAGTAATATTTCCAATGATATTGAATGGAACTAAACATGTGACTGGCCTATTATGATTACTCATAAATTTGGGCACAGATAAATATAAAATTCTATTTTTAATAATTTTTGTTGATATTTTAAAAATTTGAGTGATTTTCTGAGGAGGGTAAATTAATAATATAAAATGTGAAGTGACCACGAAAGTGTTAAGATAAATACTTACCTATTTATCTTGATATATCATAATTTGATATGTAAATATTTAGCTTAAATTCAGAGATGTGTTCATTAGAAAGCACTTTCGTTATATTTGATAATTGAAGATAGCTTTATTTTTAAAATTATTTAAATATGTAATATGTTGGTAAGTATAATATAATTATTTGTACAGTGGAGTAGCGATAACTCGAAGTTGAGGGGGATAATAATTCACTTCGAGATATGTATCATTCGAGATATTTAACTAATTTATTGATGTAACATTTTCTAGAGGAATAAAACAAAATTCGAGTTGTGAAGTTTTTCAAGTTATCGATGTTCGAGTTATCGAGAATCGACTGTATTATTAAATAATATGAATTTAAAATTAGAAAATGCTATATTCATTAATAAAATTATATAGTCACCATTTTTTAGATTGCAACCGTTGAAGTCGCGGAGTGGTAATAATTAGGTAATAATATTAGTACATAGCCTATAGGTATTCAGGTATTGTTTTAATACAATTTTAGACTTTAAAACTGTTGCCACTTGGGCTTGCTACGGTGAAATGGAATGAATATGTAAACTAAGTTGTGATGATGCTATCCTGGTATGGATGACATGGGCAACTTAATGTGCACTGCCTTAGAGTGACCGGGTACGCAACCAGATACGACGACGACGACGATAGGAGAGGACCAAAAGACTTAAAATTACGGGACCAAGGAAGTTGAATTTATGCATGGGAATAAGGAAGATGAGTTAAGTCATACAGGGGGGATGTCTTGGTGGTCGGAATCGGTTTGGTGCAATGACCACCAAGCTCACATAAATCGGTCGAATACTTAAAATCTATACCTAAATCTACGATGATGATGACGATGTGGATGATGGCTGCAACGAATGACAACCGACGGTGAATGGACTCGAAGACCCGGGCGGCCTCTCGCACACCACGGCGGGTGCTGGCGGGCTTACGCAGTCAATGATGGCACCAATCCCGATCTCGGGCAACTGAAGAGCACCGTCCAACGATGTCTCAATGACTAGCTGGTGTAGACGAGTACATGACAGTAATACCCAACCAGAAATACAATAAAACTCACATAAATGCTGGTAATGGTGGTGCTTTATCGTAATAATAAGAACAATCCAACGGTTTCGTGTCGCACTGACTCGGCCGGTGGTAGAATTTGATAAAATATGTCGCAATGACTGAACAGGTAAATATGTAATATACATATATGTGTTCAGTGGCAACAAAACAAAAAATTCCGCGTTGCTCCAATAGCAGAAAAAACAATTAACACGAACCAATAAAACAATACTTTTTTACAATTAATATAAGTAGGTACCTAGATGTGTATAACAAACTTAACGGTAAAATAATTTAACAACAATAAAGGCGTTGGCCGCGTAATCACAACAAACATTAAAAAAGATGATATAAAAACAAATACAATATGACGACAACGATAACAATAATAATAAATTAATTTTTATAGGTGATTATAAATCACATCCCTAACGAGTAATGGTTAGATGATGACGAGGAAGAGGGAGAAAGATAAAGACTGGTCGCCACCGCCGTGCTGTTTTGCATATAGCATAATAGACAACACAACAAAAACTATAATAATATGATTAATAATTGGAATTTGTACTAATCGTTTATAAATTGTTGTTCGAAATAAATATGTTTGGTTTGTTCTAGAATCTTAGGAAGTTGTGTAGTTTTAATTATTTATATTTTTGATAAAAAAAATATGAGAATAATACTCACGTTTTACTAGAATATTACTCACATAATTGAAAATCAAACTTACTTTTCAACTCTAATTAACTATACGCAGAATTATAATAATAAAATATAAATCCAAATAATTTGAGATGATTAGGTGATGATTAGCTTCTGTTAAACACAATACAAATCTAAATTGATCATGTGTTAATAAAAAAAACCTAGTAGGTATTTAGCATAATATTACAATAAGACTATAATACTATAATACTTGTCATAAGAATATAACCTTCCAAGCTGCTTGTGTGGTTTTTATTTTCTTAAGGAAAAAAGAAATAATAGTTCAACCCTTTTCTGATTAAAATTAATTATTTTGTTTTTGTGTTCTAGATGGAATTTACTTTCACATTAAGATGGTCACCGGGTAGTGTGATCACTATAGTCACCACACAAGGCAGTAGGCTCAACACAAGACCCCACAAAAAATGTCACTTCGAGCACACCTTTTAATGACACCCCCCTCCCCCCTGAAGTTACCCGATATGAACCACAAAAAAAGCGTGTTTGTGGTGTCGAATGCGGATGGCAAAATCGTGAAATCGTGGGTAGCGAAGCGGCGATTGAGACTGGCGAGGTGGTAATCGTGGTTGGCATAGTGGCAACAAAGGATGGCACGTTGAAAGTGGTTTTGGGTAGCAAGGTGGCGATGGCGAGCGTTGCTTAATCGCCAAAGACCGGGTGTCACCCATCGAAAATGTGCCAAGTACTAGCGGCTGTGTCGACGGAGAACAGTGCTTTCCAAGGGCGTAAGTATTATTAGTTATTACATTACCTTTTAATCTATACCATGATTTCTTTACATCTTAACATAATTTATAAAAAAAAACTATTTTAATGTAATATGCTGCAGTTATATAGGTGATTTGTAACAATTGTTCAATATTTTATGATTTTAGAATACACAAAATATTATGAGGAGGGGCATCGTAGAAGCGATTAACCTTATAAAGGTAAATTACAATGACAAAGTTAAAAAAAAAAGGGTAAGTGGATATCGCCCTGCTGTACAGTAGGTTAGAAGTGGGTCACTGTATAATGGATGGTATTAAATTTGAATTCAATGATATAATATATCATTGTAAGTATACGAAAAACGATTCTGAGCGGTGACGGTTTGCCAGTGTGGATATTTAATATTATATTTATATTGTTATTACTTATTAGTTATTACTTATTATTAATACGGTAGCCAGTATGTTGAATTAATATTATAAAATTACAACGAAATAACTAAAATCGTTATTTTTGGTCATTTAAAATGTAATTTCCTCCAAATTTGAACATAAAATAACAATAAAAAACTGTGTTTTTATATTTTTTATATTTTTTGGTTACAGAGTAACCTAAGTAGGTTAGTGGAAGTATTAGTAAGTGGAAGATTATTGTAAGTTTTCAATCCTTAGCTATAAAAGTTGTTCCTACATTTTATACATTTTTAACTACAATAGATGCCTGAGAAAACTCGTTTAAAATAATTGTACCTATACATACAATTTTTATTCATAGTAAAAAATGAAACTAAGTAAATACTAGTGGTTTTTTCAATTGTTATGAATAGTATGCTTGGATTTTCTTCAACAGTAGATTTTCTGATAGGAAAGTGAATCTAGATGGTACTTTGGGGGGTCAAAAGTGAAAATTTCCCAGTAGTTTTCAAAAGCGGCGTGAAAAACAAAATAAAAATTAAGGAAGAACGGGAATTTTTACACTAAAATCTGTTTTCGAAAAAATCGATTTTAGTTTTTGGTGCAACTCTTAAACAAATGAGTAATGACCGTAGGAATATGAAATTTTGACTGAATGTTTATATTAGCATTTTCTATACACGATAACATTTTCAAAATGTTTTGATTTAGTTTGAACTGTTTAGGCACATTTTCCATTTTTTTTTAGTTTTTTTTCTAAAAATATCAATAAAATTTTATTTGTTGGTTAAAAAAGCTTGAAAATTTAATACAAGGCTCCTACTATATTATTACAATATCAGTTGAAAAATATTAAAAATACATGTGCACAATTTTTTTTTATAAGCATTTAAAGATAGAAATTTGACAAAATTTATCAAATTTAAAATTGAATAATTATTTTGTAGTTAAAAATGTATAACATTTAAAATTGAATAATTATTTTGTAGTTAAAAATGTATAAAATGTTCAACTTTTATATCTAAGGATTGAAAATTTAAAACAAGATTCCACGTAAGTAATTGATTCTGTTACCAAAAAAACTAAAAAATACACAAGCACAGTTTATTTTTATAGTCATTTTAAGTTCAAATTTGGACGAAATTACATATTAAAATCAATATTAACGATTTTAGTTTTTTGTTGTAATTCAAAAATATTATTCGGGGATATATGGAACTAAAAAATCAAAAAATCAAAATATTATGGCCTATCCATACAATCTACCATAGTATAATGAATAAGAAGTATGCTCTATGATAAGACTGTGCATATTTTTTTTATTACCATTGATATGCATATAATTTGTCTTAAACCTAAACTGACATAACGTCTCCGCTCAGAATCGTTTTTCTCATACAATGATATTACCTATATCATTGAATTCAAATTTAATACCATCCATTATACAGTGACCCACTTGTAACATACTGTACAGCAGAGCACCTGTTTTCAATTTAATTTGTGTCTACGTAAACGATAAGTAATCAAAAACTGCTTCGATTTTCTTAAACACGAATAAGATTCGTTGGAAAAGTGAATCTAGTCGGTGCATTGGGAAGGTTAAAATATGAAATTCGCAGTAATTTTCAAAAGCGACGGGAAAAAAAAAAAAAATGAAGGAAAACCTGAAATTTTTACTCAAAACCTGTATTTTACAAAATCGATTTTGATATTTGGTGTGACACTAAAACAAAAGACATAGAGACATGACATTTTCACTGGTTGTTTATATTAGCATTTTTTATACACAATAAAATATTTGTATTTATTTTGTTTTGAACTGTTTACGGATATTTTCAGTTTCCAAATTTTTTGTTTTTTTTTTCTATTAATGTCAATAATATTGTATTTGTTTTTGTAAAAAAGCTTGAAAATTTACATTAATTTCACTCTAGACAAAAGAACCCAACCCAATTCAAATACAATTAAAATCCATGATAGATTGTAAATCTAATAACTGTTCGTGTAATGTAATAAATAAAACGGAAACTATTAAATATTTAGGTATTACTTTTGACCAACATCTAAAATGGGACACACACGTAAATAACACAATAACGAAAATACGGAAAATGCACTATCTATTCATTAACGCAAGAAAATACCTAAATAACCAGACTCTACGTTTAATATACTTTGCTATGACACAATCCATTATACAATACGGAATAACTGCCTGGGGTGGCTTAGGTATTATAGGAACAATAAAATATTTAGAGCTCAAAAAAGCATAATTAAAATCATTTTGAGTAAACGAAAATATATCCCACCAAAGATCTATTTACTGAATTTAAAGTTCTTACGACGTAACAATTATTCTACAGAAATGCCCTATATTACACATACAAATTTAATTTAATAGATTTCAAACCTAGACACTATAATACACGACAAAAAAACAACTTAGATATACCTACTGTTCGTATATTGAAATCTAGCCGATGTTTTTCGCAAGTGGGTTTGAAATTATTAAACAATATTCCGCTGCAAATTATTAATAGTACGTCATATAAAATATATAAACAATCTTAAATCTATTAAATTATGGTTGTTAAAGAATACTAGTGACCTACACCCTATATAATATACCAGTGTACCTATATAATGTATTTATTTACTTATTTATAAATTCTATTTTTGATGTAATTTTTTTTATATATTATATTATATTTACTTATTTTTTGCAATTTATGCTTTAATTACTAGAATTGTACAGATATGTCTATTAATATATTTATGTTTTTGAATTATAGTCTGATATGACGCAATTTATTACGAAATACCTAAAATTTTATAAAAATTGTAACTTAGCTATTAATAGTACTCCATCATCACCAATAAGAGGTTATCCTCAGTGGTGAGATGAGCCATTTAACCATATTATATAATCGAAAATTGTATCTTTTCTTGGCCAATAAATATATTATTATTATTATTATTTATTATTAAATTTAATACAAGGCTCTTAATAGATTGTTACAAAGACATTTGAAAAATATTAAAAATCCATATTCACAATTTTTTTTATAAACATTTAAAGTTCGTATTTTGACAAAAGGCGTAAAAATTATTATGAGCTGAAAATTCATAAAAAATGTACTCTTTAAATCTAAGATTTGAAAATGTAATCAAGATTTCTCATAAATTTGTCTACCTTTATCAAAAAAAAAAGGTCTACAAGGAAATCAAATTAAATTTTTAAGAGCGTTTGAAATTCAAATTTTTACAACATTGGATATTCACTCGATTTATCATAGTTTATCTTAATTATCTTTTTTTTCACGATTATTTAGAAAAGGACTGGACGTTTTTTATTTTTACATCGACTTAAAAAAAATTATTTTTGTAATTGTTTTTAAATTCTGAATACATTATAATATATTCATTTTCTGACCAAATGTCACGCACTCCACACAGGTTACTTTATGCTCATTCTCGTGTATGTACTAGACCCGCTAACTGCAGGTTATTACACCGCGAGTCAAATCTCAAAAGGTCTCGCAATAAGGTAATGGACAATTGTAAATTTTTTTTCCAAGTATCAACTACAAAAGTGCATTAGTAGTTGTAAGTATATTATCTTACATTAAACTATACTCACTTTTAATTATTTTATTTATGAAAATTGTCCGTATGTTTCGTACTGAATTTATTATAATATGTTTAATTCGTTTCTGGCCTTTGTACAATTAGGGCGACAGACAGTGGACGACTATAATGTGTTTGATCGCCATTTATACGGCAACACATGAATTGAGTACCGCGGCCACAATTCCTTCAGAATTTCGTCTCGGTTACTTTTGGTTATCATACTAATTAGTAATTACTAATTACTACATACATAGTTAAGTCCCGATTTGTGTACATACGAGTTGCGCCCCGTATATAATTATAAAAATTAAACAATATTTCCCATCCCAGTTTCATTCAGACTGTGGACTTTCTGTAGCAATAATTACTATTACAGGTATAGGTTGAAAATATTATTTTGTGTGTTATATTATTATTCTACATGACTTTTGTAATTTTTGGACGAATTCCAAACCATTTACGGTGTTGGTGAGTTGATTCCCGAGACCTACTTTATGTGCGAGTTGATTCCCTTATTGATTCCTATTGTAGATGGTGTACTAAATGTATATGATAATATGCAGTCTTAAAGTACTTGAATAAAAGTATTCAAATGCTTTTTAAGTACTCAAATACATGTGTTAAATACTTTTAAAAAGTACTTGAACAAAGTATTTAAAAATAATAATTTTCAAATAGGTACTTACTAGCTTCAGTTTACCTATATGTATAATATTTTCTATTTTAATTTTGTAATATCTGTATATGTATAATGTATATGTTACGGGTAAGGTCCCAAAACGGTTAATGTACATATTACCCGGATAATGTGAACATTATCCATATGAAAAGTCTAACGTATACATTATCCACCTTAAATATGTACTGTGTGTCTATGTTGCCAACATTGAATGGTGGGAATTCGTTATTTTATCGTATACATTTTATCAAAGTACTTTACTAAGTGGTAGATATTGTGTTTTATTCCCGAGTAATGTACGAAATAAACTTTTTATGAGTAGTATTATTACTTTATCCAATAGGTACAGGTACTGTTCACATTACCCAGAAGAACCGCGCCGCAATTTATAGATAAATTGTAATAATTAGTAGATTAACAAGAATTGATAATAATGAAATAATATACGTGGAAAACATAGTTATAATTATAGACTTAAGTTTAAACTTATACTAAACAGTGTTCAGTTAAAAAGAGTACATGCTAAGGTAAAATAAAACTAAAGACAAAAAACATTCAGTAGAGATAAATAATAACATAGACAGCTACAGATCAGGAGCTATTAAGTAGGCGGATCATTCTATCTAATGGATTATTATGGGAGTAATTAGTATGGTGAGAGGAGACATATTATATTATTACATATTATTATAGGGAATGATTTCTAGTGAAATGCTCAGGAACGCGGAAATAGATAGAGGACAGAAGGTTCAGGGCATCTATTGAGCCGTTAAGAAGAGAGGTGATGAATGAGAGGTCAGCATCTACACGACGAGAAGCAATAGTAGGGATATTCAAGGAAGTTCTAACTGATAGGTAATCATGGGGCGGGTGATCAATATTGAGTATAAAAGCGGCGTACGAAAGGATGTGGTTTTGGACACGATCTAAACGTAATTGGTCCTTGACTAGATATGGGTACCATAAAACTGAGCTATATTGACAGAGCGGACAAGGGAGAAATAGAGGGAGAGAAGACAAGTAGCGGACGTGAAAAGGCTAATGTTGCGTATTAAGAACCCCAGAATTTTTAACGCTCTACCAGCAGTAACATCAATATGGTGTTCAAAAGAAAGAGAAGGAGTTAGATAGAACCCGAGATCTTTGACAGTGGATACACGTTCGAGAGTGGAGTCATTAATATGGATGGATTATGCAAGTTCGTTTTCTATGAAATGACATAACATGACACTTGTTGAGGTTGAGCGTTAGGTCAATGCGCTGGGCCCAGAGAGAGAAAGTATTGAGATCTGATTGAAGTTGAAGACAATCAGACGGAGATGTAATTTCTGAAAAAAATTTAATATCATCGGCAAATAGAACAACTTTAGAGGAAGAAATGTACCTGTTAATTGAGTTAACGAAAAGGATGAACGGAAGAGGACTGAGATGTCCTCCTTGGGGGACCAAAAAGGGAGTTATAAATAAGTCAGGGTCAACGCCGTGGACTCTTACGAATTGCTTTCTTTGACTTAAATAAGATTGGAGCCATGAGAGTAAAGGATAACCGATACCAAGTGAATCCAATTCAGAGATAAGGCGGCTATGAATGACAGTGTCGAAAGCTGTATTAAAGGCCATGACACAGTATCAACTTGACAATCAGATTCAAAGCTTTTTAATATATATGACGTGAATGATAGGCTGAAAGTGACAGTAGATTTCCCACTACGGAAACCATGCTGCTCATCTATAAGAATATGGTTAAGACTTCTTTTGATCGAGGAGTATACGATGGACTCAAACATTTTAGAAATGTGTGGTAGGATGGAAATAGGCCTGTAATTAGAAACGAACGAGGGATCTCCAGATTTAAAAACAGGGGTGACAGAACATGTTTTCCAAGCAGCTGGAAAGATACCCTTACAAGAGATAGCCCAAAGAGTAGGAAAAAAGGATAGACAATAGAATCTTGACAATTAAAAAGTAAACATGCTGAAATCCCGTCTGGGCCATTAGAGTTGGTGTTTTTTAAAGAGTTGAGTGCAAGTTGTACATCGTCGAGTTTGAAGTGGCAATTAGAAGGAAGTTCATACGGAATAATATTAGTATTAGAAATATTGACGGGCGAAGAAATAGAGTTGTTATACATATAATAAAAGTACTTAGAGAATAGGTTAGCCGAACCCAGAGGATTATCAACCGTATCACTGTTCCAGCGTAGAGTGTACTGTGGTACTGTGTTTTTTTGGTTTAAATTTTTAATAGATTTCCAAAATAGTGAGGGATTGCGATTGAACGAGTTTTTGGTATTTTTTATATAAGACTGGTAGTCTATTTTAGATTGGTGCTTGTATTTAGCACGAAGTTTGGAAAAAGCTGAGTAGTCATAGGGGGACCTCGAACACTTATAGAGTGTGTGAGCTCGCTTTTTCTCCATAATAAGATTTTTAAGAGAGGGAGATGTCCACGCAGGGAATGTTGGCAATTTAAATGTTTTAGTAGGAACAAACAAATCAATAGCATGAAACCCTGCTCATTAAAAACAGTCTGCATCTTCGATTGTGTACTGCGAAAATGTGAAAACCCAATTAAAGGATTTATTGCTTTATGGCAGTGTAGTTTGCAGCCTTAAAATATTTATATGTATGAGTATTAACTACTGATTTGTCCGATTGTGAAAGAAAGACCAAGTGAAGAGGTGGGTGATAAGGATCAGGAATAACCAAATATTCCGTTGCTAAATTGACTGTAACTCCATTGCAGTTGGAAAAGACAAGATCTAAGATACTGCCATGATTATTGCGAAAGAAATTATGCTGGAAAAAATTGAGGTAAGAAAAAGAATCAACAATAGTTGTGGAAATTATACTGGGATCATTAGTCCCGATTAATCCTAATTCATCAGAAAACCTGTAGTTAGATTAAATTACTGTAGTTGATATTTGGAAGATTGTAGTCACCACATATGACTAGGGAATCTGGTTTATAAGAGAATATGATGTGTTCAACATAAATAGTATGGGATATTTTAAGGTTGCAATTTAGGGTATTATCATAAAAGTTATTATTACAAATATTAGAAAAATTAATATTTTTACAAAATGAGGCTTTAAAGTTAGTGAAGACTTGTAAGAAAGAATCTAAAGTTAGTTCAGCAGTGTAGCAGCGTGAGTAGTTTGAAGGACGAAGTTTAATATTATACATACGATTGCAGAGTGGATCAGTTAAGCAGGAGTAGTAGCATGAGTCATTTTTTCCAGTTCTGTTCAGGCCAAGGAGTGCTTGCCTAGGCAGCGACAAGTCGAGTACTAATAGTTTTTTGTTTGGGTAAGGGCAGAGTTCGATGCTTGATGGCGTCCTGGGATGATCTGCGGGCTGGTATAATAATATAGGGGAATCCATCTCTGTATTTGATTACCAAGTCAGATTCACCGTTCTTTTTGCGATTTTCCAAATCAGCGTATACAAGACGAATTCCTTCACGTTGACTCGGAGTGCGATCACGAGTAACAGAGATGGGACGGTGCATATTGTCAGTATGAGTAGATCTAATATTTGTATTATAGTCAGAGACAAGTTTCTGGGATATTTCTTTAGATTGGAAGAAAACCTTGAGTGGTCGGGGACCTCGATCACTGGGTTTACCTAGCCTTATTGCTTTGAAGTCAGATGATAATTCGGGAAAGTAAGGTTTGATAGCCTCAGTTATTTTTAGGACGTCATTAGAGACTCTATCTTCTAATACAGAAGAAGAAGATTCTTGAGTACCACGAATAATGACGTTTCGAGAACAGCGCTCACGTTCAGTGATCTCATAGAGAATGCTAGGAATAGTGCCAGCCGAGGAGGTACGATGACTATTGTTTGCAGATTCAAGGTCTTGGACTCTTTTGCTGAGACTAGAGATGATTTTTTTGGAGTTTGTCGTTCCCAGATATTAAACAACCTGAGAGGACAGACGACCTAAGCTATCATTGAGTTCAGAAAATTGAGCATTTTGAGATTCGCACAAGCGTTTACACTGGGCCAGAGTTTCTTTTTGTGTTTTTTGATGTTCGGCCATAGTGATGTTAAAAACATCAAGGGTCAGCAGAATGGAAGAAGAAGAAGCTGATTTAGTAGCCTTGTCAGACATTACAGAAGTAATATTGCCAGCAGTGGTTGATAGGGTGGATATCCTTGAGGGCGAGTTCTGACTCATTTAAATAAATACGCCTTGTAAGATAAGGTAGGCAACCAAATCTGCAGGTAAGCAGACGGGTCGATGAGATATGCGGGTTGATGAGCGGAACAGCTAACGATCACTGCATCACGATGTTTATGTGGGAGATTGTAAATTCCGCCCGAAATGAACAGGTAAAAACAAGGTCTATGGTAAATTCCGCCCGGAAAAATATCCAAGTAAAAAAGGTACATGTAAATTCCGCCCGAAAAAATATACAGGTACAAAAATAGTTCCGCCCGGAAAAATAAATATTTTTAAACTAAGCGTTCCGTACTTCCGTGACTGTACGACGCGACCGTACTTTTCGAGACGCGGCGCGTGTTATAACTTATAGTATTGGGAAGTCACAAAATGTTCGAACACGGAACAATCGTATCTCAAATATTTACTTTTATAATTATTACTATTTTACGATTTTTAATACTTTTATACATATTGTGCTAATTATTGATTATGATTTAATTTTACTATAATAATATGATTGTTATATTTACTTTTATAATTATTACTATGATAAATACAATAATATTATTAATAAGACACATTCAGAAATTTGTTTATTAACAGTAAGTAATAAATGTATTCTTTATAAACCTATTATACCTATACGGTTTTGATTGAAAAATTCAAAAAAAAGTAACTTCAAACTTTTAAACATCATTAAGTAATAAGAACTTTTTACTTATACATTTTTTCGGGTGGAATTTACATGCGCCCGTATATGTTTATATATATATTTATTACGCTTTTTCAACTATAAAACGCACACAATGTATAACGCGAGGGTCAGTGCGGGTCTAATCTATGATAACGAGATAACGACTGTCGAGGGTTTTGGAACTTTGTACCGATAAAAAAAAGAATGAACCCACGTTTCTACGGCGGCCGTGTATAAGTTATAACCACTAATAAATAATAATTGACCCTGAGGCGAGGGTATTGGTCAGACTGACTCAAAAACGACACCGGTCTGAAACCTACTTACCACTATACTACCGAGGACTGTACCAATGACCTAGAATTATACATCATTTCCGAATAAAAATGACGGCGGTATTTAGTAAAAAATAAAGTTGTTCTACTAGCAAAAAATGTTCCTCCCCGGCGGGGAATCGAACCCCGGTCTCCCGCGTGACAGGCGGGGATACTTACCACTATACTACCGAGGACTGTACCGATAACGTAGAATTATACATTATTTCATCATAGGTATAGGTAAGGCTCTAACAGACACGGGTAAAGACAGCGTCCGCTTCCTTTCCAAAGCTGATAAATGATAATAGCTAGTCATGTATTTATTACCTACATTTGTTTTGTGAAATTGAATTTTGATAATTAATGAATAAAGGTAGGAAAATATATATTTGAACGATTATTGAAGATTTTTCATAGACGTACTTGTTTTGATAAATATTTGTATAATTTGTATTAATTCCAATTGGAAAGAAAATGGCGGCTGTATTTACCAGCTGTTCTTAAAGAGCCCTAGTATAGGTGCTTTCTTATTTCAGCTATTTGTTATAATATTTTACCATTATAGGTAGTAGGTACATTGGTACAATATCGGTGCATTCACTCAACTCAATGCAAACTAGGTAGTACATGGCAGAGGCGTACCCAGGATTTTTTTATGGGGGGGGGGGGGGGGGTCAAAATTTTTATTTTATCTGTTCTCTAATTATAATTATAGTTTAATTCATTACCAAAATATTACTGTTAATAACTATAATATAGTTACAATAGTCAATAGTTATACACACACTCACAGTACATATACAGAAAGGTTTATAACAATAGGTAGGTACTATAATTTGTAAATGTAAATGTAGATATCTCAATGGGGGGGTCCGGACCCCCCCCCCTTGGCAGTGTTGTAAAAAATACTTTTAAAAAGTATTTGAGTAATTACTCAAATACTTATAAAATAAAGTATTTAAAATACTACCCAAATACTATCTATTGTAAAGTATTTGAGTATTACTCAAATACTTTTTAGAAGTATTTGAAATCATTTTCAAATACAAAACAAAAAAATACGTACGTATACGACATACCTTACCTACCTAATGTTCGTATTATATTTCGCTATGATAATATACTATATTGGTAGGTAGTAGGTACCGAAACGTACCGTTCCAATCGTCGTCGAGTGTCGACGATAAACAGACGGTTTCTCAGAGTAACTAATATTAATTACCTATTAATAGACGAAAACTAAAACCAACATAGAATTGTTCATAAATGATAAATATATATTATAATATTATTAAGACATTATTATTATTTGACAATGAATAAAAAGTTGAAGGAATAAAAAAAGTATTCAATAAAATAGTATTCAATAGTAAAAAAATGTATTTAAAATACCGTTCAAATACTTCAAAAATAAAAGTATTTGAAAAAGTATTCAATACGGAAAAAAGTATTTGAATACTTTTACTCAAATACTTTTACTCAAATACTTTACAACACTGCCCCTTGGGTACGCCCCTGGTACATGGTATATAAAATAAAATTGCATGATGTTATGATTTATGACACCTTGTTAAAATGTTAAAAATACGTCACACTCGCATGTGTTGTCTTCGTCTTACAAATTTACAACATTGTAAAAACTGTTTTGAGAGGGACAACTTTTCTCGCACCATATTTTCACAACATGTAAAGAAGAACTTTAAAAAATTGAAAGCTGTAAATGTCCATAAACAGCTCAAAAAGAGTCAAAATATTTTCAAAATTGTATGGTGTATAGGAAATGCTAATATGAACATTCAGTGAAATTTTCATGTATCTACAGTCATTCGTTTTTGAATTACAACAAAATAAGGAAATCGCAACATGAGAAATCGAGTGAATATCCAACGTTGTAAAAATTTGAATTTCAAACGCTCATAAAAATTTAATTTGACTTTCTTTTAGACATTTTTTTTTTTTGATAAAGGTGGATAATCTCATAAGGAATCATGTATTACATTTTTAAAACTTAGATTTAAAAAGAAAAATTTTTACGAATTCTTAACTCAAAATAATTTGCTAATTTTCGTGGTTTTTCCATATTTTGTCAATTTTTGAACTTTAAATGCTTATAAAAAAAAATTGTGACTAAGGATTTTTAATATTTTTCATCTGCCTTTGAAACAATATATTAACAATACAATCTATTAAATTTTCAAGTTTTCGCAACCAAAAAATAAAATTTTATTGATATTTTT